TTATTTTAATGTACATGTCATGTACAAGATTTTCAGCTTCATCATATACACCTAAAAGTAATTAATATTTATTTATACATATAAATAGTAGAGTTCAAATCTCATAGGTTAAATTATATAATTTTAGTTTTTTTGTCCAGTTATGAAAATTAGGTAATCAAATAAGATAAAATTAAGGAAAAAGATCCATATATCCTATGTACTATTCAAAAAAAAAAAATTCGATTTCTTATGTTTCAATAAATTCTTAAAGGTCGATATCTTTCTCTGGTGATCGACCATGGTTCTTTGTTCACATTAGGCTTATCACAGCAAGGAGCTCTCCTCCCCCTTTTTCGTTTAACTAAATGGGACTTAAATAAACACAAATTTGACAAAGCAACACTTATAAGATGTGAAAACAAATTAAAATTAAATGAGACTTGATTAAATAAAGAGAAAAGCGTAGTAGGAACTAATTACAATGATAAATTTAAGTATTGCTTTGTTCCTCTACTTTCCTAGAGTGATTCAGATATAATAAATATATATTAGTTACCCCAATTTGTGAGAAGTATATTGTCTATATGTATGTAACTTGAGGAATATATCAAATCAAAAGCGGTAGAATAGAGGCTCACAAAATTGTAGGTAAATATATGTGTAAATTTATCCATCTCAAATATATGTAAGATCTTGTCTGCAAGAGCAAGAAGCAGATAATAGCCGAGTTATAAGTCATATGGCAACATCTTTCATCTGAAATCCATATTGTAGAGCTATCTATGACAAATCATTTTACTATTTCAAATTTCACTGTAATCTTGTTTTACAAGAAGCTCGACATACATTAGAAAGATTGCTAAAGAAGAAAGAGGTGTGTCAATGAGAAGAAGAAGATGATGATGAAATGCCACAACAGTTAAAGTTCCAAATGAATTTACATATGCAATTTTTTGCTTTTATAAGGAGTTATTTTACTCTTGAACTTATTTTTCTTCTGAATTTTATTAATATCTTAGATCTATAAATTGACTCATCTCCATAAAGGGCCGAGTGAAACCAAATTTTCATTTTCGATTTTGAATTAAAGATGTTAAAAATAATGAATTGTGGTCAAATCATATTTCATATGAGTAATTTTCATATGTCTAGATATTGTTAATCTCTCCATGTAGAAAAATAAACATAGCATTTCAAATATCAAATTTTAGTTACATAATTTATGGGTTGAATATAGATAGTAATTTCTATGAATTTAGGAAAAAATAACATACTTAAAAACTACATAACGATGTACTAAAACTGTAATACTTAAAATATTTTAGAAACAATTATTTTGCCATACAACTCATCAGTTTTGTTTTACGGCATTGCATATTAAATTTACCTTAAACAACTGGGACATATTCAGACTTGTGTAACTTAAAAATGATATTAGATATATACCAATCTCCATTTGATCATGCCCTTGTAGAGTGTAAATATTATTGGATAGAATGATTAGAAATTCAAACACATAACATGCTTTTGTTTAATTGAATTCAAACTTAAGTAGTTCATTTATGACCTTTAGTTTTATTTGCGCTCGATCTTTTATGATGAAAACGTAAATGGAATGCATTCTGCGAATGTGCCAACGGTTATGTTTGACAAAAATATTATAGAAATAGTACTTAGTAGGTAGTTAATTATACGTCCTAATAAAAATATATATACGTATCACAAAGAAAAATTAAGCACCTCTCGGGCCTTAAAACGTTGAAAACTATATTCAAGTTTTAACATCTTGAATGTTTCTTTTTTAACAAACGGAAAAAAAAGTATACGTTGAAAATAAACACAGAAAAGAATAAGATTAAGATATAGAGAACTTACTTTTACCATTGATACATATTGACCTAAACACAAAAATTGAAGTGTAAAATATCTGAACAATAATCCTGGTGTTCTATTTGCTTTCGCAGTGTTGAAAACCCCAAAGGAAATTGGAAAGTGGACACCGATCAATTTTATATGTGAAAAATATGAAATAAAACCATGGGAATCTTGCATGAATTATAGGTTTTCCTATCATAGCCTTTCACTTTCCATTTAACCAATGGAATGTCACAAGGATAATTTTTGAAACGGTGGAAAAATGATTTGAGTCCTGAAACATAATTACTGTTCATGGACTTCGGATTTGGTGTTGCCGCTGTCTTCTCTATTAGCCAACGGTTGGATATATTATTAACTGTTACAAGGACATATTGAAGGACATATCGGTAATTCAACTTTTAACTTTTGTGGTTCCCACTTTTATAATAATATATAGATGATGATACGATGATTAGGTTATTGAATTATCTTCACTTTATCCCACCCTTTACCATCTTGATGTCGTCCATACTTCCTCATATAAGATTTAAAAAGCAGTTATTTTAATATCATGCGTTGGGGAGGGGGGGGGGGGGGGGGGTAGGGACGAAAATTAAAATAGGTAACGAAGTTAGTCAAATGTTAATAAGAAAAAGAGATGCCTTACCTTTTTTATTTTAAAGATGATGAAAGCTTTGGTGTGTCTTGTGGTATGGCATAAATTCTTTTCCTAGAAAATATTATCCTGAATAAAACCATTCTCCATTGCGTGATTTCAGTGAATTATTGAAATCTTTTCTCAAATAAAAATATTTTTCACTAGAAAGAGGAACATGGCTTCCGTTGCCTATGGGTATAATACATCTAACATTTTTCTTACACACATCTCAAATCCTTATCTATCTCACTGATTTCAAGCAGCACTTAAATATTATATTCATCCTTTTAGTAATTAAAAAAAAAACGTATCACCAAACTACTCTCATACCCTACCATGATCCACCTCCTACTATTATTACCATATATGTCATCTACTTTTATATATATGAATCATGCATTTTGACAATAATCTAAAGCCTTTCTCCAAGATGCATTTTTCACAGAATATATTTTCCAAACATACGTTTTTCATCACAATTTTTGAGAAAACAATAAAACTTATTCACCTCAGCGTATAACACCCAACTAGAAGACCCAAGTGGCTCCAAATTAAAAAGCTTAAAAAGTGGTGTACGTTAAGGTGTGGAAACAAACTTCATGTGTTACAAGCTGAAAGAGGCGTTAACATATGCAAAATCCATAGTATCATACTAAAATTCTTGCCTTAAAACAATTTAATTTGGAATACAAATCTTGCGTTATGAGAGTGGTAGCGAATAAATATTGGGTTGAAAGTTCCACCAAGTTGTTCATATATAGATTCCATTTACTCCTCACACCAGAAGTTCATAAATGGTTTCAACGACCACCAGTTAGTTTGAACCTTTTATCACACATGCATCTTTCTCTATAATATTTGAATTTTTTGTGATTAATTAATACTCCTATTTCCTTTTAAAATCTTCAAAATTTAAAGTATAATATGCTTTCATTTGTGAAGAGGAACCAATCAAAAATAAGGGTTGAGATGAAGTTGAAGTCCCATTTAATTTAGGTATCTTAGATATTGGATCCTTAGCTCAAGCTTGCATCTCATATCCAAATCCCCCTAGATTACCGTACAAACTACTACGAGGAGTATTAAATAAAGTTCTTCTTGAGTGTCCATGCAACCACCAAACGCCTATGCAACAACCTCACCTTGCATATTTAATTTAGACACCAAGAGCTGCAGATCTTTAACAAGGTTGCTCTTTCTTTTTTTCATTTTTTTTTTTTTTTTTGGGGGGGGGGGGTTATTTATTTTGCACACTCTTGGCTTTTAGTTAGCTGATCTCAGAAGCAAATGCTTAATGACCGAGTTTACGGCTGTTGGGGAAGCAACATTTGGAGTAAGAGAGTCTGTATAATTGCAATTAATACAAAAACAGGTTAAAATTAATCGGATATAGCTATATGATTAATGTTGGAAAGCTGCACCTAAGCAAAGCCTCCTGGGTATAGTGCAGAAGAATTTGAAGATACAGAATTATATCTAGCAAGCTGGGATCAAGGAAGAAGACTTAAAAGGGATAACAACATTTTCTATTAAGATGATGTAGGGATGACTTTCCAAAATGCAGTGGAGCAAAATGGTCTGCAACAACCTTGGATCCCCCAAATGGATCTTCATCTTGAGACTTGCAGTAGCCACCAGGGACATGCTGATTCATTGGGGAGTTGTCGATAATCAAGTATGTCCTATGTGTGCTTCTTAGACAAAAGTGTCTCCCGCCTGCTTTTTCCAATGTGATTATATCTACCCTAATGTGGAATAAGCTTTTGCATTGCAAAGAATTGCTAGAAATGGCCAGATGAACTGACATGCGCTGAAGTTAATACCTAAGGAAGAAGTCCAGGTGCTATCTCTATAGGATGATCTTGGCTGCACGTACGTGTTTATCATTTCTTGATTGAGAGAAATCAGAGTCTTTCAGGCTAAACAACCTGATCCCAAGAGCATATCAGGAGAGTGTCATACAGGAAGTAGTCTACCGAGGAGCAGACTTGCTAAGGAGCTTGAGAAACTGAATTTTCATTCAGTAGTGCGTACACAGACCTTACCGGTTGTTTCCTAGACTCTCGGTTCAAAAAAATAAACCCCACTTGTGGGATTAATGAATTGTTGTTTTTCGTTAGTAGTCTGTAGAGTTTAGGTTATTTGTGTTGTCGATCGTGCAATGTGCTCATCTGCAAGTATTTTGTTTTGACTATATAATACCGTTGGTAATAAAATCTTTTATTTACCAAAAATATATATACAACCGGATAGAGAAACATCAACTTTGAAGAGCTTCATGAATTCAAATTCCTGAAACTTCTAAAACTTTTACAGAATAATAAATGTAAGTGTCTAAAACATCTCAATTGGAAAGAATCCCACAAAAAATTTAGGACTAAGAAAAAAGATAATGGTAATCTACAAAAGTACAAACCGCTCTTACTGTTCCACAGAGCGCCCAAACAATTTTCTTTAGTGCCAAAACAAACTAATCTAGGTAAACCTTGGAGGAGAAACTGTGTCTAGAATGCTCTGTCTGATTTGTATAAGCCAATCTAAAGCAGAAAGTATTTCAATGGTACCAGAGGGATAATCGTGATTGAATCGAGTAAAAACACAATGAAAACGGTTGTGTTTACCAATCCAGATGTTCTGAATATAATTTTTTCCCAAATCTTTGAAAACATCACCGTACAAAATGAGAACTTAATGCCCTTCTCAGTGAGAACAAACTAAAACCAAATCCTCAATAAATATGAGCGAAAAACTATATGTAATTATTACATGTAAAGTCCTTCTGGCACTCCCTCTTTCTTCTTGAACATGACCTTATCTTTCGCCTTCTTGAAATCTGCATGAGTCACCTGTAGAGAACAGAAGAATTCTGTCAACATCTATTGCAAAAGGAAAACTACTATTGGCTGCAGTTTTACCACCAAGGCAGCATATGACTTTTGCCACCATCTAGGGGACATGAACAGGATCAGCCACCCAGGAAATTTCAAATTGTATAATTCTAAGTATACTTTGTTTCTGCCCCCTTGTAAGAAAACTAATAGTTCATCTGACTGCAGGTAGAAATTGTATGTTCCGCACCTTTTTTACTTATTCAGACACAGACATTAGGTAAGCTTATGCTAACAAGTTAAGCTCCACATTCCATGTTTCGAGAATTAAAATTCTTCGCAAGTCAAAAATATTCTCAAGAACCCAAGTTAAAGAATCAATTATAGCATGCTTCCTCATTAAACTAGATTCATAACAGTCAACCCTGCACATGAAATAAGACATGGACTTGCTCAACTTCCACGGTTCAGCATTTGGGTGCAAATAAAGACAAATTTAATTTTCCATTTTGAGGTCATACCTTCATACGCCGTTCTCTTAGAGCGAGCAATCCAGCTTCAGTACATATTGCCTTGATATCAGCTCCAGAAAATTCATCCTTGGTCATAACAAATTCTTCTAGGTTGACATCATCAGCCAAAGTCATCCTTGCTGTGTGTATCTGAATATCCCAAAATAAGATTTTTCTTGTCAGCAAAGAGGAGGCAAACCAAGATGCACCACTCAAAATAATTTTTGCTAATAACAGACCTGGAAAATCCGCCTCCTTGTTTTAATATCAGGAAGAGGGAACTCAATCTTCCTGTCTATTCTGCCAGGTCGTAGCAGGGCAGGATCAAGACTTTCGATTTTATTTGTAGCAAGAATCACCTTAACATCTCCTCTGGAATCAAAACCATCTAGCTGGTTCAACAATTCTAACATAGTCCTCTGAATCTCACGTTCACCACCAGAGTGTGCATCATACCTGCAGATGAAGACATTAATTAACAGAAATCCACAACATTCCAATCTTCATGTTACTGATGCCAGAATCAAACCTCTTGGTACCAACTGCATCAATCTCATCAATGAAGACAATAGAAGGTGAGAGATCATCAGCAACTCTGAAGAGCTCCCTGACTAATTTAGGCCCATCTCCCAAGTATTTCTGAATCAGTTCACTTCCGACAACACGCAAGAATGTTGCTGAAGTGGAGTTTGCTACTGCCTGAACAAAAATAATTAACAAAGCTCAGATTTTATACTTGTATTCCCACAGAGACATTAGTACTCTGATAGCAAATAATTAACATTCAACAACGATCATGCTACCTCTGGTCCATTTTAAATATTGTTTTAGGCATTCAAGTTTGGTCCGAAGTAAGTGTTATTTTAGGAAACCAAGAATGCTTTACTATTCTTCCAAACCTAACCTTGCTCATGTAGATGATCTAGAAAGTCTGAGAAGAGATAAAGGAGAATTTGAAGAGACATAAAGGGTACTTTTGTCAAACTCCTAAAAATTAATGCTATTATATGGTTTTCTTAATGGGCGCGCCAAAACCTTTAACAACAATTAAACCTGACCGGAAGTAGCAACTGCTAGCACTTGTTACACGGACACAAATAGATAGCATGACATCTGGACGGACTAATGACAGCCAGATCCGAAAAATATATCCAACAAACCAATCTTTCCCAAAATTCAAAGACATAGCATGGCATGTCAAACAAGCTAACGGAAACCATACTCGAAAAATGCATCCAACAAAACAAGATTTTCCTCAAAGCTATAAGAGGAATTGCCACACGGCCACACCACAACTCTATATTGTATGTGAAGTTCAAGTGACTCTACATGCCATGAAATGTGCAAATCTTATCCAAATAGAGAATACAACTAAACTCATCCCAAAGAATCTTCTCATTAGAATAAGAATTTATCTTGGAAAAAAATTCCATTGACTTTAGTCATATGTATTTTGCTATTAACTTGCTCCCTTTTGGCAAATCCCTAACTTTCTACCTGATAACACTTCTCATAAAGCTTAATGGCTTGAACCAAACCCAGTTTGACATTTGGAGGTCATATCTGGGGAATATACTTGGACAGAAGGAGTAAATCCTTCTTTAGAATTTTCAAAGAACGGGAAAATATTTGGTCACATACAAAGAGTCTTCAATTTAGTCACCAACTCTGTCTTTCTTCAATCACATTAGAGTCCTCCCACTCCAACCAAGGGAGATCAAAGTGGAAGCTTAAAGAAAGTATTTTTAATTCCAATATACACAAAGAAATTTCACAAACCTTTGCAAGCAAAGTTTTGCCAGTCCCAGGCTCTCCATAGAGAATGACCCCTTTAGGAGGTTTTATACCAATGTCTTCATACAGCTCAGGGTGAGTCAAAGGAAGCTCAACAGCTTCTTTGATCTCCTGAATCTGAGCATCCAATCCACCAATATCAGCATAGGATTCCAAAGGAGCTTTCTCAACCTTCATGACAGACACCATCGGATCAACATCGTCTTGTAGAAGACCAACAACTGATAGAACCTGAATGAGAGAGACATACATAAGTCAAGATGACCCACCCTCATATTTACACAATTTTTCTAAAAAAATAGAGGAAGAAGAGGAAGATATTTTCTGAGAAATTACTGCTAGAAAGATGAGAAATCATACATAAGTTAAAATGATCCAGCCTCAGCCTTAGGCACTTTTTCTGGAAAAAAAAAATAAAGGAAGAAGAGGGAGAGATTTGTTGAGAAGTTAATTCTAGAAAGAAGACATAAAATGTTTGATAACGCATGGTATTAAGAAAATGGAAGCATTAATTTCGAGACTCATTCGTTCCTCTAAATTCGGTTCCTCTAAATTCGTTCCTCTAAGTTCTTTAAATTTTCTATAAGAATCACTCCAACCAACCAACCTGAAAAGCCTCAATTAGCCATGTTTAAATCCTGATGAAACTTTCAAGAATGCAACTGTTCAATGCTCCTCACTGTAGCATATATTTTTGGAGTTAAATGCACAAAACCCTTACCCTCTCTCAGTTCAGAAATGGTACAATCACAATTAAACAATATTAACAAGCACTATCAATAATTAATCACAGGGATAAAATTCTTGTGATTGCGAACACTAAAATCTGGGATTGATTCAAACACATTCAGCTTTTGTTCCATCTCCAAGCTCAATCCAAGTCTCAACTTACTAAAAGCTCAAATACCAAATTTTACCAACTACCTAGTTAGGGTTATAACTAAATTGCACTCGAACTTATCAATGTCATGCCTCAACTTCACAAATCCAAATCGGTCGATATCCATTTGGAACATATAACCCTAGGTCAACTATTCCAAACCCTAAATAAGCCCACGGACAATGAAACATCACAATAAATTAAAAATAACATAGTCAAATACCTTATTATGCATCAGAATAGCACAACCAGGTTCCAACTGGTCCTTATCCACAAAGGACAAGATCCCAACATAATACTCCGGCCCAACTGAAGAAGAAACTATGGCATGATTCTCATCAATAAGCTCCTCTAAATTCCCCACGCTCATCGGAGAACCACGTAGATCATCAACCTTAGATCTATCCTCTTCAGTTTTCTCTTCTTGAGGTTTTAATCGTTCCTGATTGGCCACGAATTCTTCTTCCATCAACAGGTAATCTTTGATTCGCTCGAGCTTTAGGAGCCGAAGCTTGCACTTTGTGAGCGGTGTAACGGTTGGTAGCCGAGCTGCAGCTTCGGAACCCTTCTGTTTGCGCTGCTTACGGCCGACTCGAGCCGGTGGAGCAGCCGGCTCGAACTTTTTCTCCTTCTTGTCTCCGTCGTTCTTCCGATCTCCGGGCAGTTGCCGGTTAAGTCCACCGGGTGTTCCCTGTCCCATTGAGCTGTAACTGTGAAGAAAGGGGGCGAAAAGCTTCAGAAATGGTTTTGGGAGTTTTGAGATTTGTCTTCTTTTACAAGAAATATACCATCAGAGCGTAACTAAATGAGAGACAGGGGTATAAATATGGGAATCAATGGGCCAGACTGGCCCGTCAATATTTGGGTCCGGGTTAGGGGCGTAAAAATTGCATTATCACCTATTTGGTGGCCCAATTTAAGTACTCACTTTTTAAATTTTTTTTTTTAATTTGTACCCATTGTTAAACAATTTCAGCCTTTTTTCTCCTCTTTCTTCTTCTTCTTCTTCTTCTTATTCTTCTTCTTATTCTTCTTCGGATAACAATGATTTTATATGATGTTTGTAAACATATTTTAAGGTAGTTTATGATGCTTTATAATATTATGCTGTTATGGTGCTTTATTTTAACTACGGAAAAGGGCCAAAACTATCCCTATTGTTTGTTAAATGGTTTATAAATACCCTCCGTCCATCTATCCGTTCAAAAAAATACACTCCATCAGTTCTGCCGTTAGTCGCGGGAGTATTTTTGTTAATAGAATTAACTTCGTGTGTTTTTTTTGAACGGATAGATGGACGAAGTGTATTTTTTTGAACGGATAGATGAACGGAGTGTATTTTTTTTAACGGATAGATGGACGGAGGGTATTTATAAACCATTTAGCAAACGGTATGGATAGTTTTGTCCCTTTTCCGTTTTAACTATTGCTTAGGGTTTATTCTTTATCTTTTTCTTAATTGCACAATGGGTTTATTTGATTTATTATTATTTTGACAAATTGATGGTTTGGGTTTGTTCTTGATGATATTTGGAAGATATATTTCAAATTTGAGCTCATTTGGAATAGATTTAGGTATTAAATCGTGTATTAGATTATTAAAATTCTAAGAACAAATTTATGTTTCTAGGCACTTTGCACTTCAGGCCTATTTGGCCTTAAGTGCATGAAAACATTGGTCGCACGTCAGACCATTTAGCCATAAGTACATCTGAAGTACAAACTTATTGGCCTTAATTGTAGGAAAACGTTTATTGCACTTCAAACTTTTTGGCCTTAAGTGCATCTGAAGTGTAATTTTTTACTGCAGACTTTTGGCATTAGTGCATGTAACCATTGGTTGCACTTCAGACTATTTGGCCTTAAGTGCATCTGAAGTGCAATTTTTTCACTTCAGACTATCTTTTTTTTTTTTTTTACTTTAGACCTGATAAGTCTGAAATTGATAGAAAAGTGGTTAGGCTTAAGAATTTTTTCGCATAATGGGTATAGGTTCAATTGTGATCCCAAAACCGGGTATAGATGCAATAGCCCCGGGGTGTAAAAATTACACCGGCACCCCATTTGGTCGCCCCAATTTAACCTGTAACCACTTTTTAAATTTTTATTAACTTGTACACACTGTTTAAACAACTTCAAGCCTTTTTCTCCTCTTTCTTCTTCTTCTTCTTCTTCTTCTTCTTCTTCTTCTTCTTCTTCTTCTTCTTCGGGTAACAATGTTTTTATATGGAGTTTGTGAACATATTTTATGATAGTTTATGATGTTTACAATAGTGAGTTATTATGGCGCTTTATTCTTATTATTGCTTAGGGTTTATTCATTTTTTTCTTAATTGCAAAATGGGTTTATTTGAATTATTGTTATTTTGACAAATTGAAGATTGAGGTTTGTTCTTGATGATATTTAGAGGTTATGTTTTAAATTTGAGCTCAATCGGAGTAGATTTAGGTATTAAATCGTGTATTAGAGTGTTAAAATTCTAAGAACAAATTTCTATTTCTAGGCAATTTGCTCTTCACGCCTATTTGGCCTTAAGGGCATGAAAACGTTGGTTGCACTTCAGACCTTTTAGCCTTAAGTGCATCTGATGTACAATTTTTCACTTCAGACTTATTTGCCTTAAGTGCAGGAAAACGTTTGTTGCACTTCAGACCTTTTGGCCTTAAGTGCATCTCAAATGTAGTTTTTCACTTCAGACTTATTGGCATTAAGTGCATGTAACCATTGGATGCACTTCAGACATATTTGGCCTTAAGTGCATCTTAAGTGCAATTTTTTCACCTCAGAATTTTTTTTTTAACTGTAGACCCGATAAGTCTGAAGTTGATCGAAAAGTAGGTAGGCTTGCAAATTTTTTTGCATAGTGAGTATATGTTTAATTGTGATCCCAAAACCGGTATAGATGTAATAGCCCCGAGGTGCAAAAATTGCACTATCACCCTGTTTGGTCGCCCCAATTTAACCTGTACCTACTTTTTAGATTTTTTTAACTTGTACCCACTCTTTAAACAATTTCAAGCAATTTTCTCGTCTTTCTTCTTCTTCTTCTTCGGATAACACTATATGGTGTTTGTGAACATAGTTTAAGGTAGTTTATGATGTTTTTACTATTGCTTAGGGTTTATTCTTTTATTTCTTAATTGCAAAATGAGTTTATTTAATTTATTATTATTTTGACAAATTTAAGTTTGAGGTTTGTTCTTGATGATATTTGTAGGTAATGTTTCAAATTTGAGGTCATTTGGAGTAGATTTAGGTATTAAATCGTGTATTAGAGTGTTAAAATTCTAAGAACTAATTTCTGTTTCTGGGCAATTTGCTCTTCAGGCCTATTTGGCCTAAGTGCATGAAAACATTGGTTGTACTTCAGGCCTTTTAGCCTTAAGTGCATCTGATGTACAATTTTTCACTTCAGACTTATTGGCCTTAAGTATAGGAAAACGTTTGTTGCACTTCAGACCTTTTGGCCTTATGTGCATCTGAAATGTAGTTTTTCACTTCAGACTTATTGGCATTAAGTGCATGTAACCATTGGATGCACTTCAGACATATTTGGCCTTAAGTGCATCTGAAGTGCAATTTTTTACCTGAGACAATTTCTTTTAACTTTAGACCTGATAAGTCTGAAGATGATCGAAAAGTGGGTAGGCTTGCAATTTTTTTGCATAATGAGTATATGTTTAATTGTGATCCCAAAATCGGGTATAGATGTAATAGCCCCGGGGTGTAAAAACCGCACTAGCACCCTATTTGGTCGCCCCAATTTAACCTGTACCCACTTTTTAGATTTTTTTTAACTTGTACCCACTCTTTAAACAACTTCAAGCATTTTCCTCCTCTTTCTTCTTCTTCTTCGGGTAACACTATATGGTGTTTGTGAACATAGTTTAAGGTAATTTATGATGTTTTACTATTGCTTAGGGTTTATTCTTTTATTTCTTAATTGCAAAATGAGTTTATTTAATTTATTGTTATTTTGACAAATTGATGATTGGGGTTTGTTCTTAATGATATTTGGAGGTTATGTTTTAAATTTTGAGCTCATTTTGAGTAGATTTAGGTATTAAATCGTGTATTAGATTGTTAAAATTCTAAGAACAAATTTCCGTTTTAGGGAAATTTGCACTGCAGGCCTATTTGGCCTTAAGTGCATGAAAACGTTGGTTGCACTTCAGACCTTTTAGCCTTAAGTGCATCTGAAGCACAATTTTTTACTTTAGACTAACTGGCCTTAACTGTAGGAAAACTTTTGTTGCACTTCAGATCTTTTGGCCTTAAATGCATATGAAGTGTAATTTTTCACTTCAGACTTATTGGCATTAAGTGCATATAACTATTGATTGCACTTCAGACCTATTTGGCCTTAAGTGCATTTGAAGTGTAACTTTTTCACTTCAGACTAATTTTTTCTTTAACTTCAGACCCCATAAGTCTGAAGTTGATCGAAAAATGGGTAGGCTTGTAAATTATTTTGCAAAGTGGGTATAGGTTTATTTTGAACCCAAAATCGGGTATAGATGCAACAGCCCTATTAGAGGTTCAACTGACCGGTGCCTTTGGTAGGGGACATGCCCAGGCAGGTTAAAAGGTAAATATTTCATAGGGCACCTTATTTGGGCTCTCATATTTAACCTATACCCACTTTTTTAAAAAAAATTTAACTAGTACCCAATTCATAAGCGCTTTTTTCTTCTTTTTCATTGTTGTTTTCTTCTTTTATATTTTATCTATGAGCTTCTCTACTGCTCTCTTCTTCTCTGGTTTCATGTCCCATGTATCTAGGAGCTATTTGGTTTCTTCTTCTTCTTTTTAGTTATATAATACCATTGTAGGTTGTACTTAGGTTTTCTTCTTCTTTTTGTTAGATTTGTTGTTGTTTTGACAATTTGATTGTTTGTCGTTGTTCTTTAAGATATTTGAAGGTTATGTTTCAAGTTTGAGCTTATTTGGAGTAGATTTGAGCGTAGAATCGTGTGTTGTTGAGATTTCGAAGAACAAGTTTATGTTTCAAAATTTAAGATACGATTTCTAAAGTTGAATTGAAAAGATAGAACTATTTAAGATCTAAATTTTTTGAAGTTGCATTGGAAAGATATAAGAACTTAAGATCCAATTTCTAAAATTGCATTAGAAAGATAGAAGAACTTCACATCCGATTCGATAGTTGCATTAAGAGATAGAACTACTTAAGATCCGATTTTCTGAAGTTGCATTGAAATGAAAGAAGAACTTCATATCCGATTCTAAAGTTGCATTGAAGAGATAAAAGGACTTCAAATTTTGATAGGTAAATTTTGTAACTTTTTGTGTAAGGCGGGCATAACTTCAACGACGGTCCCAAAAGTGGGTGTATGTAAACTTCTCTTGGTTAAAAGGCAAGAACGGGTGAAATGACACTAAGTAGCCACTTTTAGGTTCATTATTTAAAACATAGCAAGTTGTCATGGCCCGCCACATCATCATGACACGTAGGTGCCACTTGGCATATATTTTTGCTATATGAAAAGCTTAGATAGGAAATAGGTTAGCACTTGTAGGAAGGTTCTAGAGAAATATAGAGTTTTCCTTAGGAAGACCCTAGAACCCTATGGATTTGCTAGGAAAGTCCTTTAGTTATATAGAGAATTCTAGAGAGGGGACTTACTTGTAAATAATTAGGGATTTGTGTAATAATATTTATTTACTCACTAGCCTCTAGGAGACTAGTATATAAAGGGGGATATTTATTTGCAATTCATCAAGCAAACAATCAAGTTCTCTCTAATACAAAAGCTTCCTTTGGCAATTCTCTCGTGTTCTAGTATTCCCTTAGCGATATTTAGTTTAGTAAGACTGACTTGGCA